GAAAGAAAGAAAGAAAGAAAGAAAGAAAGAAAGAAAGAAAGAAAGAAAGAAAGAATTCTTTATTGGCCAAGTGTGATTGGACACACAAGGAATTTGGTGCATATACAGTGTACATAAAAAGAAAAGATACATTCGTCAAGAATCATAAGGTACAACACTTAATGATAGTCATAGGGTACAAGTAAGTAATCAAATCATACTAGGAAACTATCAATTATAAACCATAAGGATACAAACAACAAAGTTAAGTCATACAGTCATAAGTGGGAGGAGATGGGTGATAGGAATGATGAGAAGATTAATAGTAATAGTAATGCAGACTTAGTAAATAGTTTGACAATGTTGAGGGAATTATTTGTTTAACAGAGCGATGGCGTTCAGGAAAAAACTGTCCTTGTGTGTAGTTGTTCTGGTGTGCAGTACTCTATAGTGTCGTTGTGAGGGTAGGAGTTGAAACAATTTATGTCCAGGATGTGAGGGGTCTGTAAATATTTTCACAACCCTTTTTTTTTTTACTCGTGCAGTATACAGGCCCTCAGTGGAAGGCAGTTGGTAGTAATTGTTTTTTCTGCAGTGGAAGTCCATGTTTTTGTTTTTGTGTATACAGTAATATTGAGTATAAATTATTTTCTTCATGCATTTTGCTTATTCTGGTTTTCTTTAAAAATCAATGGTACTGTATCCTACAAGTTCCAAATGTAAGATTTCTCATTTTATAATTTAGACATGGACCTTTGCTACTTTTGAACAACAGTATATTCAGCTGCATGAATATGATTACATTAAAGTTTAAGTTTAAAATTACATGATTACTATAAAGATTTTTTCTTGGTCATTTTAAAGCCCTAAAAAGGAGAAGAGTGGAGGCAAAAGGGTGGGACTTGGAATAATGGAAAAATGGAGTGCCACCTGGAAAAATAAAGAGGATTAACAGTGAAACTTTGAAAAGACTCCCAAGGATACATTGTAACTGAAATCTTATTAAAAGATACAGTAACCCACAGAAAGGAAAAGTAAAGGAAAGAAACAAGAAGGAACAGTCTGGGATCATTTGGTGATTTAAAAAAAAAGTTTTGGCATTGGCTTTTTCTTTCTTTTTCTGTTTTTACTTAAAGTCAATCGGGTGGTTGTTCAAAAGTGTTTAAAATGCCATCACTCCTGGAGGAATTGAAGATGAATCTTAAAAAACAGAAAGAAGATGCAGAAAGGGGAGGAAGATCCTTTGGCTTCGTATTTGAATTTTTTGAAATGGAGATCCTGAACTATGAAAAGCAAAAGGAAAAGCTTCAAGAGCAAGAAGAAGGGCGGGACAAAGAAGAAGCCATTTTCAATGATCAAATAATGCAAAGTGTGGTAATAAGGGGGAAAAGGGGGAAAGGAGTTAAAAGTTTGAGATCAAAGGGAACAGCCAAAAAGAAAAATAGTCTGAAAAAGAAGTATAACAGCAAGGAGAAGCAGAAAAGAAAACTACAGAAGGGAAAATTAGAGAGAGAAGGGTATAAAAAAAAGGGATGAGAAAAAAAGGGGGGGAGATAGGGAAAGAACTTATGAGGGACAAAAACAGGAAATAAAGAAAAAGGGGAAACGTACTAGGATTAAAGGTATTTGCTCAGCTAGAAAACACAGAGACAATGATTAAATTAAGTTAAAAGTGAGGATTCTGCAAAGGTACAAAAGATAGTGTTGTGACAGTAGAATACTGTAATGAATTAGAAATGAAATAAGTAAATAATCTATGAGATAAAACTTTATTGTTATGTAATGGTATGTTTATTTATAATTAATGCAATAACGAAGAGAGGGAAACATTGCAATTGTTTCTAAAGATTGTTAAAATATTGAAAATAAAGGTGAAAGATTTATAAGGAAATTTATACCAGTTATTAGAATGAATTTGAATAATTATTTTGCTTATTAATAGTAAATAATTTATAAGATAAAACTGTATGACTATCCAATGGTATGCTTATTAACAGTTAAGTAATAATGAAGAAGGGAGGAAAACATTTCAATTGTTCTCAAAGATTGATAGATATTGAAAAGAAACGTGAAAGATTTACAAGGTTCATACCAGTACTAGAACTATTTGGTTTACTAATGTTTATATATATATATATATATATAGTTTTTGCTATGTTTTTAGAATTTTTCTTTTTACATTTTCAAGGGGAAGTACCAAGCAGAATCTGAATGATGAGATTTACATGATATAAAATAGATATTAGAAATTTGAATGTTATAATTTTAGAATGCACAAATTCAATGTTTAATGAGATTTCATATGATAATAACAATAAGAATTTAAAGGTGTTGCACTTCGATTGGCAATCATAGGGGGAATTTTGCTTCTTAAGAATGTTGGAAGAGAACATATGAAATTGTAAACAAGACAGACAAAAGTATAAGTACAATGAATAAAAAGATATAGAAATTTAGGTTAAAAAAATACAATTGAATAAGAAGAAAATAAGATAACCATAAAAGAAAATTAAGAGAAGTAAAGGGAGAAATAGTGAGAAGTTGGAAAAAGAGTAATAAGATATGAAGTTGAATACATAAGATGAATATGCATATGAAATTGTGTCTGTATGGAAATGTGATAACCCAGAACCATGCTGTACTCAAACAAGATGTTTTATTTGTTTTATTAAAACTCAATAAAACTTTTATTAAAAAAATATACATGATTACATTAAAGTTTCCTGCAATTAACATAGCTAAGGCTAGCTTTTCAAACTATGGCTTGAAAATATCATTAATTAATTTGTGTTATGCCATTTCAACTAATCTGGTTTAGTTTATGGTTTGGTGTCTTATGTGAACCCAGACATGAACCATGATTCTTGTATCTCAGAACATATTAATTATTGTGACTGAAAAATCTGACACAAAAAATGATTATGGAGATCATGGTGCCATCTGCCCAATGATGCAGAATGTTGAAAGTTCCCATCATTATATAGCAGTGGGATTTAAACAACACATGAATCCATGAAATCCAGAGCTCAAACTTGTAAGTTCATGAGTGCTTTATAAGCTAGTTTGGTTTGCAGCTGTATTGCTAGTCATACTACTGTAATAAGACCATAACCGTTTTATTAAATCTCCTGGCTTTTCATCCCTTAGTTGCGCATTCTGCTTTCATGTTCAATGATTTATAATATTGATGTGTATTTTTTCCCTAGACCAACTTATGATGACATGCCATTCAACTCCCAGCTTCTTGCAAAAGATGGGGCTGCTGTTTCAATGGGAGTCAAAGAGAAGGAGAGACAGATGAGCAGGGTGGAGAATCCAAACATTGGCAGTGGATTCACTGCTGAATCAGGCTGCCTTATTTCCCAGAACCATGAAAAGCGGAAGAAGGCTTCTGTAGAACTGCTTCCTATCCAGACTCTGGGAAGGGGGCAACAACCCAAACCAGGAGCTTCACAACGAAATCTGTGTATTTCCAGTAATATAAATAATCTTGGTCCAACAAACCTTTTGACCAAAAATAGTAATCAGAAAGTCTCATTTGCAGCTAGGGATGTTTTACCCCATCCATTACCTGCTAGCCAGGTACCATCCCCACCTCATAGACGTGCAAAAAATATTAGCTATCCAGGAAAAGCAGATGGCATATGTGAACAGGCTATGCGAGATATATGCAACCAAGATGGATTTTTGAATTCAAACAAAAATCTTGCTTTACAGCCAGTCCTGTCAAAAACTGTTTCACATTTTCACAAGAGTCCTGTCTATAATACAGGCAACTCTTTAATCTCAGGTCAACTCTTTTTAAAACAAGATGACTTAGAACCTCAGGATGAAACTCAGATTAACCTTTGTCTCAGGAATTCTAGAAAACCTGTGGGCACCAGCAATTCCCTGAATTTTCAAGCAGCTCCCCAATTACCAAGACAAAAAGAACAGTTGTGCAGAAGTGCTGAAAGTTCTATAAATGAAATAATTGAACAGGTCATTTTGAAATACTGTTATGAATCTCCTCCCAAAGAGTTGCCTTGCAGAGAAGAAGATACAAATTCCTGTGTAAATATTCTGTCACTTTTGGATCACAGTAGTCTGGATGGTTCAGATATGAGTTTTGATTGTGATGCAGCTATTGATTCACAAGCAAACCTGTCCAAGTTAGCTGCTAAAAATCTAGAACTTCTCAAAGAAGTTAAAATAAATCTACAAGATGAAAACTATGGCACCCAACTCAGCTCCATTTTTAAAAATGTTTCAGTGCAACAAATAGCAGAAGCAGAAAATGATATTTCAATTCAAAACGAAGAACCAGTTCTTCCAGCTCTGCCTCATGTGCCTCCTTCCTTTGTAGGAAAAACCTGGTCTCAGATCATGTACGAAGATGATATGAAAATTGAAGCACTTGTGCAGGATTTTAGAGAAGGCCGCTTCCGCTGCCATTTTGATACTGAGCCCTTGGCTCATCGTACACCGAGAAAAAAACCTCAAAAGACTGATGACGTGATCAATGTAGTTGTACCTAGAAAAACAGGGGCTGGGCCTGCTAAAGGGCTTCCAGAATTTACTGATGTCCTAAGTGATGGTCCTGACTTCAGCAACTTATCTGTAACTTCAGTAATACATGTTCCAAAGCCCCTGAAGAATCCCCCCAAAAGAATTTTCCGCCTTGCCTCAAGATGCCAAGTAGTCAAGGTGAGCCATGGCACACAAACAAGTTTAGTACAGTATCCTGTAGTAAAGCAAAAAATAATTAGGAAGGACTATCAGCTACAAGATCAGATGGACAATCTCCTTTGGTCAGAGAATGAGAAAACACCTACCATGAAAACTAGGTTATGTGCTCTTAAGCTTCCTAAATCTTATACTAAAATCATGAGCCCTTTACAGCCACAAACACTAGTCTATGTTCTTTCATGTCCAGAGATGAAACAATTTAGGAACAAGGCTGAAGAGATTCCCAAAATTAGAAGTCACAATTTCACACATAGTAAAGATTCCGTAAGGTACAAGTACAAACAAACCTCTATTAAGTATTACGATCCTCTGACTAATCGAATTTTAAAAACACCTCCTAAATGCATAGCTGGGGGGAAAACAAAGAAGCCAGCACATGTTCGACAGCTATTCAGGAACCTCAATTTTGATGGAAACAGTAAGAAACAAGCTGATATCCAGTATATATCAAAGCCCTTCAATTCCCCAGACAACCATGCGGTATCTCTTTTGCTTGACCCTGTTAAGGAGAATGATATGAATTCAAATCATCATAAGTCAGAAAACCCTTCTATTTCATCTGAAAGATCAGAATGCTTGGTGTATAACTGTTCAGAGAAATGCTGTAAACACTTATTTATTTCACGGTTGAAGTCACATCAATCACAGCAGGAAGGTGACTTTCAATTCAATCCATTTAGGAGGAAAGGAGTCAAATGTCCCTTGAAGCCCCATACTGCTGATTGTTTAGAAAGAGACAATCCAAAGAAAATATGGCAGAGGAAAAAAATCAATAGTAGGGAATCAGGGTTTCCGAAAAAAACTTCAGAGCTAATTTTTATCAAACATGACCTTGTTAAGAAAGGCAGTACAAAACAACCACCCAGAAGTACAACTCAGCAAATAGAAGGAAAAGTTAAAAACAAATCTTGTACTCTTAAATCATCTATTCTCAGGCACCACTCAAAGAGCACTACCATAAAAAAATATCTTCAGAAAAAAAAAGCTGATATTAAAAAGTTGACAGTGTCAAGAAAGTCAAAAAGGACATTTTTGAACACTGCATCTGTAATGAGTGTTCCAGAAAAAAGGCAGAGAATCTCTGTAAGGACTTCTTCCAAAGTAAAAACATGGGAAGTGACTATAGACAAGAATCTTTTTTGCACTGTGAAATAATATTGCCCAGATCATATACACTTGCTTTGGGATTGTCTTTAAGAGGGCTGGAAAGGGAGAAAAATGTTCTGATGTATTGGCTTTTCAAGATAATACATCAGAATTAGAAACGGAACAATTTCAAAGTCAAACAGTAAGCTAATAGTTCAAGAAGTAATTCATATTGTGAGTGAGGGTTCTGTACATTACATGTTGAGTTAAAACTTTTTTTATGCAGTAAAAGCCCAATTATGCAGCTTGCTATATATTTTTCTCAAGCAGAGCATTGTTTTCCCTTGTAAAACCAGTGTCAATCATTGAAAAAAGTTTATCTTGTACATGAAGTTCGGCTTTGATATCTTGTTGGTAAACTAAGCAATGTCAAAACTCATCCCAAAGCAGTGTGGAACCAAATGGGCACTCCTGCCGTTTGTTAAGATTTTCAATTTCCCCTTAACTTCTCTGAAGAATCTTTGTGTAGAACCATTTTTTGGAAACTGCACGTGGAGTTTTAGGATGCATTGTGTTTGAAGAAGTAACTTTACCTTATCTGGAATCTAAATTTGGATATCGCATAGTGATTGTATTTTAAATTCAGATCACAAATACAAAATCATCCTGCCTATATTTGTTATTTTCTCAAAAGTATTGGATGTCCTTCTAGAATGAAGCTGCTGTTGAAAATTTTTCTTTTGATTTTTTTAAACTTTCTGGAAGAACAATTGATTTTTAAGATCATACATAATGGTTAATCAAGACTGCTGTGTATAAGCAATATTTCTACACGTAAGCTGCCCTTAGAATGCATTACTATCTAGTTTCATCTTACAATATAGTTGTGAAAGCATTTTAAAGTAATTTCAATATGTAAGCAAGCTTCTGAAAAATGCTACTTGATGCTTAAAATAGATTTCCAACTTGAATTTTTAAAAAGGTAAATATTTTATTTTATTTTGGCTTGCATTAACATGTTTGTTAAAGCATTTTTCTTACAGCATATATACTAAGATATATATTACTCTTAAATACAGGTAATTCTCGACTTAGAACAGTTTGTTTAGTGACCGTTCAAAGTTACAATAGGACTGAAAATTTCTTATGACCATTTTTCACAGTTACCACCTTTGCAGCATCCCCATGGTCATGTGATCAAAATTCAGCTGCTTGGTTCATATTTATCACCATTGCTATGTCCTGAGGTCATGTGATCACCTTTTGTGACCTGATAAGCAAAGTCAATGGGGAGGCTAGATTTACTTAACAGCCAGGTTACTAACTTATCAACCGCTGGGATTCACTTAACAATGAGGCAAGAAAGGTTGTAAAATGGAGCAAAATTCACTTAACAAATCTCTCCCTTAACAACTGAAATTCTGGACTCTATTATGGCCATAAGTTGAGGACTACCTGTATAAAATAATATTATAAAAATTCTCCCTCTGGATTGGTTTAATTTCTGTTTTCTAAGAATTCCAATAGGTATTTATCTGAAAATGACTATTTTGTTCAAACATTCCAAGTGTTTGGGATGTTATACTGGATATTATTTCCAGTATACTATCACCACCAACTATTGTATCCTAGTAATTATGGGTGCCCCAATCATATACTATGCTAATACAAATATATTTAAACAAAAATTCTTTAGCTGATAATTTTATAACCAAATTACCTGATAAAAGATGTATTGCAAAAAAAATTTTCAACAGCTTTTGTTTTTATAAGCAAAATTTCACTAATGCATTGATTGATAGCAATGTCATGTTAACTAACATGCTGGTTTTTTACATTCTGTTCTGTAAGTTTTTGTGAATATTCTGACAAGAGTACATTGTCTTGTCTTCACCAATTCTAAAATTGTACATATTTCTATATATCCTGCTTTCTTAATGCTCCCATTTTTCCCAACCTCAGGATGCACAAGGCACAGGCTGTCTAATGTTAAAACATTTTTTTTATATTTGTTTGTGTTTAGTTATAAATTGGTTGCTCAATCAGAGTGCCATTTTTAAAACAGAATATTAAAAAATGGCTATATTTAAAAAAATTAGATAATTATCTTGATATATTTATATATTTTCTTTAAAATAGGAAGAAGTCTCACATCTTATTTTTTTGTATTGTAAAGAGCTTGGAATATACTTTTGGAGAAAATTGTGCAGAATTGAAAATTCTATAACTATTACTTTTGAGTATGCCTCACTTCTGGTTTTAAGATTATAGTGTATGCTTGGTAAAGTAAATGTTGGAGAGACAATATATTTTGGTTAAAACTGTATTTTATCAGTTCATTGGTTTTATGGATAGGTTTTTAACATTGCCTATACAATTACAATTTGTGGAATGCTCAACATTTTAATAAATAAATCGGGATCCAAAACGTACTGTGTAAACATTTAAATTATTTCCTGTGCCTGTGCCATGGGCATACCTGTCGTGTGTTCTAACTAAGGACTAACTCAGTTTCATATTTTTATTGGCTTTCAGATTTTGAAATGTTAGGAGGCTGGCTCCTATATCCGTCTTAAAATGTTTGTTTTGTTTTTTTGCTATTCATTCCCCACACTGTGCCTGCCCTATCCCCTCATATACTGGACAACTACTTTTCAGCATCCGGATTTGCACCTCAAAAACTTCTAAGCAGACTTAGATTACATCTCCTTATGTTGCAACAATTCTAGGATAAGCATACCTGGGGGATTTTACGACTCTTGAAGATGTAAGAAAGATACAGTTGTCATTGTGTGCACAGAAGTCCTGTTTCCTTTTCTGACAATGAATATTATATGAATGGTTCGCTTCAAAGAAGAGGAGAGAAGCCATAGAAATGTTTTAATGAATATTTCATCAATGCTGCATGAGTATGTGTTGAATTTAGGCATGGAAGAGAAATTTATTTGATTCAAATTTTATAGACTGATACTACTAACAGTATTTATTTTTCAGGGTATTGCAATGCAATTTGGAAATTAAAATGTATACAATATAGTGCATATAAAAGACAAGAGCTTTTAAATTATGCTAAGGAAAAAGTAAACATGTAACACTAAAAAAATATCAACACTAGGCATGTACAAAATTTAAAATCAATTTTGTGTTCTTTTGTTATATTTAACCAACGGTGGTAGAAAGGTGAAAGATAATTTATAATTTGGAAAATAGAAACAGAACAGACGAAAATAATAGATTCATCCATTTCTATTTAAATGTCAGAACTGAGATTTTAAACAGATATATATCTTTAGAATCCTAGCATAAAAGATACTATTTAAAAGCTCACTGAAAAACTGCCATCGGTTTTAAGACTCGTCCCCCCACTGGAAGGACTCACTTTTGACGCTACAGAGTACCCAAGGGAACCATTTCCCCAATTACATTTTTGCAGATAAATGTCATCTTACAATGCATGTAAATTCAGATTGGGAAAAGTAGGATCAAAGCTTTGAAGGTTTCACTTCACATGTCTTCTAGAGGAAAGTGGGAGTAAAATAAAACTTCTCTGTGTTATTTCCAAAATAATACAGCAAATAATAGATTTAACAAAGTTGAAATGCCATCTTTTTAATAATAACATTTTCACAAATTGTTACCATCAATATAGGTCAAAACAATTTTTCATATTTTTCACCCTTTGTGCAATTTATAAACATAGAAATCTGGATATAACTTTATTAAACCTGTGCAAATGCTGGTTTTACCAGTCTTAACTTCTTGTTCTATTATTAAAAATGAGGGGTCCAGTAGTGCGATTCAATTTTTTTTACTACCGGTTCTGTGAGCGTGGCTTGGTGGGCGTGGCAGGGGAAGGATATTGTAAAATCTCCAGTCAGAGGTGATATTTGCCGGTTCTCTGAACTATTCAAAATTTCCACTACCGGTTCTCCAGAACTGGTCAGAACCTGCTGAATACCACATCTGGAGGGGTCCCTTTTTGCAACGATTTTCCCTTCTAATTTTTCTTGATTTTTATTGTTTCTCTTTATTTACTAACTAAATAAAACATGTTTAATTTCATTTGTATTCATTAATAAAATTGTTGGTACAATTTTATACTGCACCTAATTTACAGGTACTCCTCGACTTACGATGACAATTGAACCCAAAATTTATGTTGTTAAGTGAGACATTTGTTAAATGAGTTTTGCCGCATTTTACGACATTTCTTGCCACAGTTCTTAAGTGAATTACTACAGTTGCTAAGTTAGTAATCCAGTTGTTAAGTGAATCTGGCTTCCCCATTGACTTTGCTTGTCAGAAGATGGCAAAAGATGATCACATGACTTTGCAACACAGCGATGGTACTAAGTATGAACTTGTTGCCAAGTATCTAAATTTTGATCATATGATCATGGGGATTCTGCAAAGGTACCTATGAAAAATGTTCATAAGACACTTTTTTTCATTGTCATTGTAACTTTGATCATTAAATGAACTGTTGTAAGTTTAGGACTACCTATATATTCTCCATACCAAAATACACTAAAGGCAGATTGTCAGTTACATTAAAAAAAAAACTTCAAAAAGATACATCGGTAGTACTGTTAATAGACAATGTTTATATACTTAGGATTCTAGATTTTATTTTATATATTTATTACAAGGGAACCTAACTACTTAGCTGCAAATACACTATTTTTAGTTGTTAGCATCCTAGAGCCAGTAAAATTGAAGCATTTTTGTCCTGAGGAAAATATGCTTGAAGTTAAATTCAATTAATTTCAATTTCACTAAAATCAAAATGAAATCATCTCTGGACAAGATGGGCGGCACATAAATTTAATGAATAAAATTAAATGGATGAGAAGGATGCTTGTGAGTGTTCCATCAAGGTATATCCCAATTACTCATATTACATAATTGCTTTACACACTGAATGAAATGACACTTAATTTTGCCAGATAGTGTTAAATTCAGTTATATACTGAAGTTATCTTTAATATTTAAAGTACAGATACATTATTTCTTAGGATCAGTATCTGACTTAAACCACTCTTAACATTTGCCTTAGGTAACTTAGAATCCTATTTAGAAGAATGGGTTCAATAACAGTAGGTAGTCTAAAAGAGTAATACAGTTAAAATTAAAAATTACTTGGCTACAACATTACTGTTGTAATAACACAAGCAGCCCTCAACTTACAATAGTTCATTTAAAGTTCAAAGTTACAATGGCACTGAAAAAGTGACTTATGACCATTTTACGACAGTTACAGTATCCCCAGAGTGATGGAGTTGGAATTCCAAAGTTATCTTTTTATTATGAGGCTTTCCAGTTACAAAAAAATCAAATGATTATTAGCAGAAGTGAAAATCAAAATCTGACTTGAAATCTAAGTCACTGAAGAATACCAGCAGATACTCAAAATTGCTGAATCCTACCAGATACTCTTAAAGATTTAGAGCCTTTTATGATTTATAATCAACCTTGCTGTAAAGCAAAATCAAGAATTTAATAGTGAGTGCCATACCATGTGCACTAATCAAACAGGTGGCAAGAAAATAGGGGCGGTCAGGCACAACACAGGTTATGTAGACAGTAAACACACATCAGACAAAGATCTCAAATGCCTATATACAAATGCACAAAGTCTGGGGAACAAACAGAGTGAACTCAAACTATGAATACATGAAGAAAGATACGATATAGTTATAGGAATAACAGAAACTTGGTGGGATGAAACCCATGATTGGAACATACTGGTAGAAGGATACAAACTGTTCAAAAAACCAGACCCCATAAAAGAGGAGGTGGAGTTGCACTGTATGTAAAGGACCACTATATTGGTACAGAAATTCATGAAACCAAAGATGAAAACCACCTAGAATGCATATGGGTAAATATAAAAGAAAAAAAGAATGACATGGCCATAGGTGTATATTATAGGCCACCCAATCAAGCAGAAAAAATAGATGTCCTTTTTGCCAACCAACTAACATATGCAGGAAACACACTACAATAGTAATGCGGGACTTCAATTATCCTGATATCAATTGAAAAAGTAATTCTGCACCAAGTGAGAAATCAAATAGGTTCCCAACCAACCTAGCTGACAACTTTGTTGTCCAAAAGGTAGAGGATGGAACTAGAGGGACAGCAATACTGGACTTAATTTTTACAAACAGAGAAGAAGTGATAGAGG